TGAAGTGTATAGGGCTATACTTTCTGCTCAGATTCAGCCAAATGCTGCCAAACTGATAGGACGGACGCTGCTTCACACTGCAGATGGATAATGACCCAAAACATACAGCAAAAGCTACCCAAGAGTTTCTCAAGGCAAAGAAGGTTCTTTCAATGGCCAAGTCAGTCACCTGATCTCAACCCAATAGAGCATGCTTTTCACTTACTGAAGACAAGACTGAAGGCGGAAAGACCCACAAACAAGCAGCAGCTGAAGGCAGCAACCCAATAGAGCATGCTTTTCACTTACTGAAGACAAGACTGAAGGCGGAAAGACCCACAAACAAGCAGCAGCTGAAGGCAGCAACCCAATAGAGCATGCTTTTCACTTACTGAAGACAAGACTGAAGGCGGAAAGACCCACAAACAAGCAGCAGCTGAAGGCAGCTGCAGTAAAGGCCTGGCAAAGCATCTCGAGGAAGGAAACTCAGCATTTGGTCATGTCCATGGGTTCCCGACTTCAGGCAATCATTGACTGCAAAGGATTTTCATCCAGGTATTAAAGGTGTCCTTATGTTTATCGTGATGTTGGTTTGTTCCATTACTTATGAGCCACCAACGATGGGGGGCGGGGGTATATGCCACTGGCTGTACTTCCTGAATGGTTAGTGCCCCACTTTTGCCCAACCCCTTGAATTACAGCTGAAAGTCCTGCCTTCGCTCCCATCTGGGTATGTTTCCTTTCAACTTCAGTGTGGTAGTGTACAGAGGCCAAATGCCAAAACAGTTATCCTTATTCCAATATTTCTGGTCCTCACTGTAAGTAGAAATTTAAACTTTTAGAGTACTGTCTCTTTAACTCATTTATTCTGACATCTTTTTCAAGGAAGGTTTAGCCACTTTTTAAGTTTTCCTGCTCAATTCTCATTTATTAAAATCAGTAATATGGTTTGAGAGAATCTGCCAAAGGATTTTATTATTACTGTTGTTGGCTGCACTAGGAGAGAAAGCTTCTGATTTTAATGTGAGGAAATGCTCAATTTTGTGTTATAACCTGTGGTTGGAGGTTGGAGTGCAAAATCAGCCTAATTCAAATGGTACTGGTAAGAGGCTAAAAGCTATTTTATATATAATATTACTGATTCCTAGAATTAAGTAGAATTGACCCTGGTTAGTAATTGTACAAGGATCCACCAAGGAATTCTAGGGCTATTGGCTAAACTGGGAAAAAACATTTTGGAAAAAGGAAGTAGGAAACCCTTTTGTAATACTGCCCAGAAAATGTATGGATCCTGCACCAGGAGTTTAAGGTGATTTCAAGGTGAGGACATCTTTACTTTTGCATCACTTTACAGTATGCAACATGAGAGCAACTCTGTATAAAATTGTGTTAAATCTTAGTCATGATTCATATAGTGAGTGTTTTTCAATTTCTACAGTACATTTCATATGTGTAGTTTATTTGCACATATATAAATGTGTGCATTTGTTACACTTGTATAGATCCCAAGCCCAGCCTTTAAGAGCTGGCAAACTTAGTAGCTGTGTTGTGATTGAGTCACATGCAAGTGTACACAGAAGTATACCATAGCTTCCAAACCAAGGGTGTAATTAACCAGGTTTGTTTTTAGCAACAAATGAGGATTCCTAGTATCAGTTTGGTTTTGTGGCACTGTCTTATTCATTGGCTTATATGTTTATTCTGGCTAACTGATTTGTAGAGGAATGAGTAAACTGATCACGAATAAGCCACATGCATCAGTATTCCTTTATGATAACCCAGAAGTCACCAGAACATGTCAATAAATACTCCATTACAACTTAAATTATCTTGATCTGTAATTCTAACCCTAACCCTGTTGATGGTCCTTCTAAAGAGCTTCTAAAATATTATGGCAATGGGTATTCATAAACAAATTAACCTGCCTGCACTGCCTGTGGCGGGGAGGGAGGTTGTCAGAAATGGGGTTGGCTAGCCCCCTAGAGGCCTAGTATGGTTTCCATCAGCCTCTTGGATTTTTTTTCTCTTCTTTCCATTTGTGTAGATCTGTTTGTCTTTTTATAAATTTTAATTATGT